ATATAGAGAGAGAGAGAGAGAGAGAGAGAGAGAGAGAGAGAGAGAGAGAGAGAGAGAGAGAGATATATATATATATATATATATATATAGTGTATATATAAACGATACGAATTGTCTGCCTGCGATCTAACTGCATCGATAGGCACTGGACTAGTGCAAATTGACAATGGCCACACTTTGAGACAATGTAATTTTTTTCAATTTATTCAATGTAAAAGTTATTGATCAATTGATAATGAAATTATTTTATTCTCAAATTTACCAATGCCCTATTATCATTATTTCATTCAGGTTCTAAAGTAGGGTGTCTTCTTTTTTTTTTTTGCTCATGCACATCATCTCCGGTCAGCGTCAGAGGTGAAAGTCATGCACCCAACATAGATTATAATAGATCAACATCGATCTTGGTGGTGAGGGAGGAGGAGATTTTTAAGATGAAGCGATGTGTTAGTTTCTGTGGGAACAATTTGGGGTTGGAAGAAAGAAGAAAGTTTGACAAGATGGTTGCTCTGTATAGCCTTAGCATATGTGAAATGTCGCGAAATGACTTGCTGTTTTATCTAAAAATGTTTTCAGATCAAGATTATTCATACTGTATGTTTTCTGACTTGAAATGACATAAAAGAGTTACAAATTTTCATATTCCTTCTCAATCTTTCTGGTAATTATAATCAAGAACCTGCTGAACATTTACAATTCATTAATTCAGAAGATGGGTTATTCCCAAAGTGCTACCAAAATGTCATTTTTCAAAATAAAACCGCTGAACATTTTGGGATTTTATTATGACTTTGCTGAAAGCTTTTGCCTGGGTTGGTCAGACTGTGGACAGGCTGGCTCGGTCTGGTGTTGATTATAATCATTTGGGTTTTTTTTTAAGAAGAAAAAGCAGGGTAAAATTCAGCTTTTGAATCCCTTATTTTTTCCAATTCATTAATTCAGAAGATGGGTTATTCCCAAAGTGCTACCAAAATGTCATTTTTCAAAATAAAACCGCTGAACATTTTGGGATTTTATTATGACTTTGCTGAAAGCTTTTGCCTGGGTTGGTCAGACTGTGGACAGGCTGGCTCGGTCTGGTGTTGATTATAATCATTTGGGTTTTTTTTTAAGAAGAAAAAGCAGGGTAAAATTCAGCTTTTGAATCCCTTATTTTTTCCGCCTACCCTTTTAAAAGCAGAGACCGAAGTGAAGTTTTAAAACTTTATGGTGAGCGTCTTGCTATTTCAGTAGCAGCTCTGTTGACAGGCCTGCCAATTTATGACTCATGGCACACACATATATATTTAATTTGTAACCAAACACTTCCTGTTTCCTTTTGCCTTCTCAGAAGCCAGAGACTTGTAGTGTTTTCGCAGGTCAGGGGTTAAACAAAGGCAACATAGTGCTGGCTCGCTGCATGGTCTGAGCTAAAGGGTGTCAAGGTTGCATCCACCTTTGAGGCACATGGTGG